CTGGCTAATACAGCCATGATTTCCCTTTGAGGAAATTTGGCTAGAGTGCAGCAATCTGAATGTCTCATCAGGCGCCTTCATCTTAGATGTGTCTGGGCAGACACGCTTAGGTTAAAAATATATACAGATACATATAATTGGCATTCCACGGCGGAATCTTAAGTTTCTAAACGTCCTTGCCGTTACTCCGACATGATGCATAATTATTACCAGTGACAGGAAAGTAAACATTCGGATACCCCAAGCAAATTTTCTGCCCAAATTAGATTTTATTCAGTTTTCCACCTCTACAACAGAAATCGTCTTTTCATTTGCAAAATTTGTATACTCTTAAAAATGCACGGAAATGAAAAAGAGTGTTTTCTAGACGAGGCAAGAAACATCATTACATAAAATGTGCTTCAGAGAGTGGAGAAAAACAAAACTGTGATTTCAAATTCACTACACCATAAATTGTTCAAACACTAAACAATTTTTTTTTCCGAGACAGGGTCTCATGTAGCCAAGGCCAACCTTGAACTTCCTATATAGTCAAGGATCAGCTAGATCTCCTGACTTTCCTGTCTCTACTTCTCAGGCCCTGGGATTATAGGTGCGTACCACCGCACCCCGTTTCTGTTATGTTTGAGATCAAACCCTGGGCTTCACACGTGCTAGGCTGGTTCTCTACCAACTGAGTTTCATCCTCAGCCCCTAGAACCCTGAGTTTAGAAAGCTACCTCTGAAATGTTACTTTCTGGATTGTGCAGTCAGCACTTGGGAGGTGGAGGCCAAAGGATCCCAAGTTCAAGGGCATTCTCTGCAACACAGCTACTTCAAGGTCAACCTGGGCTATAAAAGACTGTGTCTTCAGTACAAATAAATAAATCCAGTTCAGGTTCTAGAAGAGCTCCCAAGGGGCAAATGGAAAAGGAAAGGGGTCTATTGGAGAGTAGGGCTGTTCTTAGTCTCAGCACCCCTGCGCATGGGCTTCAGACTGCGGGTCACTTTTATGGTTACATAAAAAGGCATTGCAGTTCCAGCAAGCCCACAGCTGGCTTTGCTCTAAACTGAGCATCGATTCATTTCCTAAGCTTTGTCCTGGGTTAGATAAGGGTGTCCCCTCCCAAATGGTATTGAAACTCAACCCTCATCGCGGCAGTGCTGGGAGGGGGGAATTATTGAAAGGTGACTGAGTCACGAGGGACAGCACCTTCAAGAATAGATCCTGGATCTTTCTAAAAGGACCCGTGGAAACTGGGGGACAGTTCAGTCACTGAAGTATTTGTTTGAAACATGAGGACTTGCAGTTGGTCCCCAGAACCCATATAAAAAAATCTGGGCGCCATAGTGAGTAGCTGTAATGCCAGTGCTGGGGAAATGGCAGCAGGAGGAGTCTGTGGGCTCACTGGACATCCTGCCACCTTGCTTGGGGAGATCTAGGTCAGTAAGAGACCCTGTCTCAAAGAAATAAAGAGGCGCAGAGCTCAAGGGAGTACAGGAGTGACACGTGAGGCTGTCTTTGGGCCCCCACATGCACCCACACCCATCTCCACATAAACGCATTACCACAAGTGCACACACATGTTAAATAAATTCCTGTTCTGTAGAAATGAACCTTTCTCCAGTATTCTATTCCACTGACATCCTTCCCATATTGCCTTCCAACACTGCTTGAACACGGGAAGATGAACAGGACAGGCTTTTACTTGAGAAGCTCACAGTCTGTTCTAGTCGGCGAATGTCTTACCTCACGCCACCCCATTTACCAAAACTAACTGACAAAATCAAATATGAAAACTAAAAGTTTGGCAGAAAACACCAGAGAAAGCCTCTGCCTCCTTGGGCTAGTAATCAAACAGTTATTAGGCCATACCACTAAAAGCATGAACCATAAAAGAGAAAAAAAGCTAAGGCGGACTTCGCAGACATTAGCAGGCGAGCTGTGGGAGCGGCTCAGTGGGGAAGAGGAGCAGCCGAGCATGTGCAAAGCTCTGAGCGTGGTTCTCTGCTCCACAGTGCGTGGGGGCCAGCCTGGGAAACGTGGGATGTTGTCTGAAGTGCTTACATGGATTGCTTGATGCTAGGGTGAGAGCAGAGTTCCTGTGAATTTGGGGAGGAGGCAATGGCAGCGTCCTAGAATGAGATCATGTCAATGGGTGCACAATTTTATAAATTTCCTAAAACTCATTTGATTGCATACTGGTCACTGGATTTTTTGTGACATTTAAATTACACTTCAATAAAGCTATTTAAACACACACACACACACAAATCTAGGGTCTGGAAGATGTCATGCAGTTGTAGCATGTTGACCTAGCATGCATGAAGCCCTGAGTCCAATCTGTATTACATAAACTGACTGACGGTACACACCTGTAATGCCAGTACTCAGAAGGCAGAAGCTGAAGGTCAATCTTAAGACACTAGGAACCCCAAGGCCAGCCTAGGCCCCATGAAATCTTGTCTCCAAACAAATAAACAAAAATACAAATCTGCCTAGGAAAGCATGATTGGAACACAGCACCCGACAGGAAACAAAGGTTTCACCTCTGGCTGCCCTTTTACTCACGTGGCTGAGAATGACATGTGGAGGAAACTGACCTTTTGCGGAGCTGGAAACCCAGGCCATGCCTGGCGGGTCTTATGCTTTCCGAGCTAAATTGCATGGCCCCTGGGGTTACTGAAAACTCGAAGTAAACTTACAGATTCTAAGAACAGGCAACACTGACCTCGCCAGCACAAATAAAGAGGAGTGTGAGAAGCCATTCAAACACCCGAACTGCCTGAACAATACAACATGCACCGTGTAATCATTTCAGTCTAGAAACATCTCATCTGGCGCGGCCAGGGCTGGTCGGGTAACCTAGGAAATAACCATCTTCTAAGGCATGAAGGGGTTTACAGGAAAACGTCCTGTCTAGTTCTCCATCTCCACGGAGATGCAAAGAAAACAAAATGATTTAATAATCAGCAAGGTAAATTTAGAATAAACACAAACAGCACTGACAGTTACTGCCATCAAATACCGCAGAACTTTAATGTAACTCGGATATTCCTGCAAGCAGTTTCCTTGGTGATCATTAAGACAAGACAGGGCAGGAGAGATGGCTCAGCAGGCAAAGGTGCTTGCTGCTAAGGCTGATGACTTGAGTTCAATCCCCAGGACTCACATGGGAGAAGGACAGAACTGACTCTTGAAAGTGCTCTCTGACCTCCATGCATGCACCATAGTACGTAAATACACACACACACACACAAATAAAAAATACTGTAATTTTTTTAAAAATTAAAAAGAAGAGACAAAGCATTTTTAAAAAGATTTATTTATTTTTATTTTATGTGTGTGAGTGTTTTGCATGAATGACTGCTGCGTGTGCCTGTGTATCTGAGAAGGCCAGAAGAGGGTACCAGATCCACTGAAACTGGAGGTACTACTACTGATGGTTGTGAGCTGCCATGTGGGTGCTGGGAACCAAATCCAGGTCCTATGCAAAAGCATCAGGTGATCTTAACTGCTGAGTTTCCTCTCAATCCTGTGGGGGTAATTCTTAATCCCAGGATTAGGAAACGGGAAGATCAGGAGTTCAAGGAACACTAGTTGCACAGTGAGTCTGAGGTCAGGCTGCAACTGGGACCCTACCCTAAAGTAAACCTAGGGCTGGGATGTATCTCAGTTGACGGAGTGCTTTCCTAGTGTGTACAAAAGCCTAGTTTTGGTCTCCAGAATGCCATGAAGCTGTGCAGGTAACACACACCTACAATCCCAGCATTTAAGAGGGAGAAACAGGAGTATACGGTGTTTAAGGTAATCCGTGGCTACATGGAGCTCAAGGCCAGCCTAGGCTACATAAGACACAGTTCTAGAAACATCTAGTAATAGACAAGGCAGATAGTTCAGATCTGGTGCCAAATGCCTGAAGTTCTAGCATTTGGGATGTGGAGGCAGGAGGACTACTACGAGTTGCAAGTTCAAGGCCAGCCTGGGCTACACTGTGAGTGCTCGTCACAAAAGCAGAGAAGGGCTGGACAGATGATTCAGTTGGCAGAGCGAGTGCTTCGCAAGCTGCTGAGCTGTTTGGATCCCCAGCACCCATGTAAGAACCCAGCATGGCGGTGTGTGTGTGTGTAGGGCCGCAGAGCTGGAGGACAGACCGGCAGATTTCTGAGGCTTGCTGGCCAGCCAGCCCAGCCGAAAAGGCCAGTTCCAGGGGCAGTAAGAGATCCTGTCTCAAAAATTAAACTAGTGAGACAGTTCAATTGTCTATTTGGCACAACCTAGACTCACACAAGGAGAGACTCAGTGAGGGACTATCTACACTGGATTGGACGGTGGGTGTGCCTGTGGGGGTGTGTGTCTTATGTTAATTGATGTGAGATGAGCCAATCCACCGTGGCTAGATGCGAAGTAGTGGAGAAATCAAGCTAATGGGCAAGCAGACTGTACTCAAGAGTTCATTTCCCTTTGCCCCGCATGTGCCGCGTCTGGCTACTTGAAGTTCCTACCTCAACTTCCCCACAAGGATGGGCTGGAACCTGGAAATTGTAAGCTAAAATGAACCCTTTGGTTGGGGCTGGAGAGATGGCTCAGCGGGTAAGAACACTGACTGCGTTTGGAGGGGATCTGAGTTCAAGTCCCAGCACTCACTTGGCAGCTCACAACTGTTTGTAACTCCGGTTCCAGAGGCTCCAACACCCTCACACAGACACACATGCAGACAAAACACAACGCACATATAATAAAAATAAATAAATGAATAAACGTTTTGTCTTCTGAGTTGCTTTCTGTTGGGTCTTTTACACAGCAACAGAAATGAAACCAGAAGTGGAGAACGATAGAAGATCACCAAAGTCAGCCTCTGTTCATGCATGAGTGGGTGAGTACACCCATCCATCCCGCCCACCACCACACACCAAGCACGCACACATGACTGTTTGACAGTTGGGACTCAGACTTGGACAACCTGTCACAAACCAGGTCTGGGGAGATGACCATGCTCGCCGGCTTGCACACCCCTTACCTCGATATCCCGATTCAGTTGCTTCACGATGGCGGTTATATTCCTGATGTGTTCTTCCAAGAACAGCCTGGCTAAGCGGTCCCCTCCCCCTTTGTTCTGCATCTTCTGCAAACTGCTGACGATGTCGTCTTTGATGCGGAAGGCATGCTCCACCAGGGCTGCCGTGGTTTTCTCATGACAGAGGATCCTGTCTTCCAGCTGCTCCACCAGGCTCACAGAAGAATAGGGTGCCATGGTCAGGGACTGGCTGTGTCGGGGCATGGTCCTCACTCGCCTGTGGAAGGGAACCACAGGGTTACAAGTGGCTGGTGGGGAAATGGAAATCTTTCAAGCCCGACTTTAGACTCCCCAAAGAAAGAAATACAAATTGTCTCCATTAACAAATGAGATTCAAGGAAAAGTTTCTACACAAAAGAGCTCTCTTTGGGAGCTAAACAAGACTTTAAGGTGACTATGCCCATGGAATTAAGTGGGCTCTTAGCAGGCTCCATGGCCTCCAGGAAGCAGGAGGCTTCCCCTTATCAGGTGTGATAGCCAGAGCAAGCTGACCCCAGAGGTCTGTTGACCTACTGCCTCCCTCTCCCGGTCCCCAAAGCAGTGACCATGAACTCCAGAGTCTCTAGGGGCCAGGCAGTTCCAGAAATGAGGAACAGACATCTTACAGGAGCCAATCACAAGGGCTGGGAACTCTGGAGAGTGAGAATATCCCCTAGGGTGCCATGGTTTTGTTTCACCCATAAAAAGAAATGAGGTCCTTTGTAAAATTTATTTGTTTTGAGGGGCTATCCAAATGATACTGCAGGATGAGCTAGGAAAAATCAGACGTGGCTGTGAGATCACCTCACTCTTTAAATGATGGCTCATTTAGCAAGGACTTATGATATGCAGGCTGCGCAATGCCTTTCTGTAAGCCAGTGTTTCCCCACAGGCATCCAATAAGCAACTCCCAATTTCAAAGGGCTAATGGGAACATTTGCCTCCAGCTCCACGGTGATTTCACTGTTGGCAGGAAACCCAAGTCGATTGCAGAGCCACTGTGAAATCTCTGCCTTTGGGGGTCATGGGGTGGTCCACAGGAGCCAGGATGTTAAAATGCTTTTCTTGCCCTTAAGCAAAATGACCCTTTACAATGCGATGGCCAGAAGCTCTCTCTATCATAACCCTCACACCCTCTAGCAACCCTTGTGGGATGGGTGGAAAGAAAAAGTATACCTTAGATGCATATTTTCCAGATAGTATACCCTTCCTGGGTGACAAGAGAAGGAAATACAGTGTCCTGTTGGGCCATTTTCTTTTTAATAATTCACATCTGTTGGGAAAAAAAATAAGTGCTAAATTATTGAACAGTTTATACCTAGGATATAAAGGACCCCCAACTCTGATTATTTAAGATACCAGGAGGCTCCTAAGTTATGTGGCTATACCAATCAGCTGCAATTGTAAATGCTTTTGACTTTACAGATGAAATAAAAACCAAGTGCTCCCCAAGAAGGGGGAAAGGCTTGAAAACAAAAGGCTTCTGACACTAGGGCAGCCAATCCTTCTCAGACAGAGCCTCAAGGACCATTAAATGGAGGTTTCAGAAGTTTCCGCATTCCCCACCCTCATCTTGAGCTTGAAAACAACTTTCCCAGAAGCAAGACCCTCACCTCACCTCCTGAAATATGGGGCCTAGAACCCAGCCCTTCGCACATGCTAGACAATTGCTCTGCCACCCAGCAACACCTCCAGTCCCCAAAGCAATTTCCTTAATAGATTTATTCAATCTTGTACTTCTCTGTAGAGATTTTGAATAAGCCACTTTAGTCAATCTGATCTGGTGAGCCATTAAGAACGCTTGTTCTTGTTTCTAAACGAATCAAAAAAACAATGCATGTGTAACGGAAGCTGATTTGGGGGAACCTATCTATCCACGAAGAGAATGGCATGGATACTCTTAATTGAAAAACTTGGTTATAAAAGATAACCATTCATACCAAATCTTACCTCTGCACAGTATTTGGCTGTCGCGATTCATCAGGAAACGGGAGTTTTTCAAAGGTTTTAGAACTTAGGTTTCTCAAGCCCGTGGTTAATTGGCTTAAACAATGAGTGTGGGTACCGAGGCGCGGATGCTGTAATTAGCCCCGCTCCGACGCTGGGTTGAGAAGCATTTCTGACTGACACCATTGTTTTGGCATCGGTTCTCCAGTGTTTTATTTTTAGACTTTCAAAATGTGAACATTTCACTTCCCCAGACAAAGAACTTCAATTTTTAAACAAATTACATTTAAGAGGACAAAAAGTAACTTATGTCAAACAGGCTATGATGTTCAACGAGGTCTTGGGTGCGGAAGAATTTCTACCATTTCGACCAAATAGAATCATAGAACTTGGGAACTTGGACGCATAGGAATACTTACACTTTTGAGGCTACACGACACTTTTATGGGATTTTCATTAATGAAACAGCCCAACTAAAAACTCATTTAGCATCTATTAGAAACCATCCACTCCTGTCTGGCACCCCCGAGTCAGAACTGTCGGCAATTAAGGAATTATCTTCAACTGTAGAGTTCTTTACTGAGACTATCAGTCCCTTTCATAACAAACCAAAGGCCGGATGTAGACATTGGCCATCCCTTCACTGAGGCTGATGCCACCAACCTGCCTGAGCTATGGAAGCCCCAACCAGAGGAACCGTGTGAAAGAGGAGAGGATACACCCTTGACTCCTAGACGGGCTCGCTCAGCCCCAACACTTCCATTATCTGGCACTGACTCCACGATTTTAGATTCCCTATGGCATAAGTTTATAAAACACTCCAGCATACGCTTGGGGTTGGCGACCTTCCGTGCATGCTGCAAGAATCTGCTCATCTGTTTAGTCACCTGCTTGGTTGGCACAAGGACTCTTTGCCACAGTAGTGGGAAGGAATCTCCATTTCAGCTGAAGTAGAGGCTGCTAATCAATCACTAGATTAAGTCCCTTCCCAGGCGCTATTTCCAGATCTTCCCATGGTCAACTCCAGTGTGCCTGCCTGATGTTAGCATCTCCCATTAGTTTATGGATTTGCTCTCTGAGAAGCGGGTCTACGGTGTAAACAGGAAGGTCAGGGTCATGCGCCACTCTGATTGTGTCATAAGTCCCTGAGGTTTGCTTTTATGGGGGTGCATTTTATTTTGAGATGGGGCTTTATCTGTCTTGGAAGCAAACAGCCTTAGCCACTGGGCTAAACCACCAACCCTCTTAACTTCAAATTTTCCATTCACGCGACCACAGCCCCAACGCCTGCTTGCCCTCCCGCTTCCTATGGTGAGAAGCTGCCCTAACCTGGCTCAGCACAGATGCCTGGGACAGGACACCCAAGAGCAAGAGCAGTCTCACGGCTGTCCTCCATATGCACAGGCCAACAGTTTCCTGTTCTCCTTCCCTCTCCCATCTGACCCCACAGCCTCCCTTCTTCACACATGACTTGAACTGCTTTTTTAAGGCTGCTTTGAGGTTTTTTGTTTTGTTTTATTGCTTTTTTTTTTTTTTGAGACAGCTCCATGTAGCCTAAACCAGCCTTGACTTCACTAGGTAGCCAAGAATGACCGTGAACTTCAGATTCCCGTGCTTCTACCTCTGAGTGCTAACATCACAGATATTCACCACCATGCCCGCTCTACACAGAACATGGGAATCCAACTTAGAGTCTGTCTCCAGGTAGCGTTCTACCAGCTGAGCTACATCCCCCAGTCCCTGTTTGAGGCTACTTTTAAACGTCATGTCCCTCTTCTCTTATCTACCTACCCCCTGTGCGAGATTGCTGGATTTGTCTCTGTGGTGTGAAGGGTCACTATCCGGCTTCTATCTCTCTTGGTGAGGGAAGAAGGGCTGTGCAGCTCAGAACAGGATACCTAATTCCCAAAGTCAACACATCCAGCTTGACCAGACCAAGGAAAGACCATGAGAAACAGCCATAGCTGTCCAAGACTCCCCAACAGGCCACAGACAGCAGGTTAGCACAAGAAATCAGGCCTGGCTTCTTCTTTGTAGGCAGCCGACGCGGCCCACCCCAAGATCAGAAGTTTGGAGACCAGGTGAGTCATTCCTGGAAAAGAAATTATCCTAACTCAGCATAGTCAAGGAGGGAGGTGGCGTTTTGGTTGCGAGGTGGACCCTGGAGAACTAGCGAACCATTCAGACCATATGTGGTCGGTGAGGCTGTGGATTCTCACACCCAAACGTGCAGTGTTGTTCATACCTGGCCAATGGGCGATGACTTCCCTTTACCACTCCTTGACACTATCCGGATCCTAAAGCACCCCCAGAAACCTCCACTGCCTTGGAAGGGGCAAGACAAAGGCTTAACCACTTTAAATGTTGTGACAGTAATCTTGTTTGCTTCCCTGTTTGCCATAGGCTCTCTCTGTTTAGTTCAGGCCAATAATTTGCTATGTAGCCCCAGGGTGGCCTCAGAATCTCAATCCTCCCGCCTTGACTGGGCGCTGGAATGACCCGAGTGCAACCCTCCTGCCCTGTTCTATAGTACATTTTTAAAACAGTAGAAGGAAATCTATGAAAATGCAACCAATAACATTAAGCATATTTTCATTCTGTTCTCATTTTCAAAACACTTTAATAAGCATGTTATTTTCACGATTGCAGAAATTTGAACAAGTACTTCTCAAATAAAACAACAAACCAAGGAGCAGTAGCGAATGTAGAAAGTGTTCAGTTTGAGCTGTAAAAACAGACGCAAGCCTCATGCTGGGTTCAAAAGACACCATGGTTCAATTAGAACAAACACGCTGTCGGCTTCACCTCCCCGTTCTCCTGCAGGCACCTGAGTTATGAGACCTGAGCCTGGTGCCTCTGTCCCAGTCACAGCTGTGATCGTGGCCTGGGTTACCTGCTCGTGGGGACTTGGGCATCCGGCACAGACACAGCAGCACGCCACCCGCAGCTTGCCACCCGCAGCACGCCACTCGCAGCACGCCACCCGCAGCACGCCACCCGCAGCACGCCACTCGGAGCACGCCACCCGCAGCACGCCACCCGCAGCACGCCACTCGCAGCACGCCACCCGCAGCACGCCACCCGCAGCACGCCACTCGGAGCACGCCACCCGCAGCACGCCACTCAGAGCACGCCACCTGGAGCATTTCCAAAGCCCCGATTCCAGGGGCTGGGTGACGGGCTTACAGGGGTCCCAAGCAGACATTTCCAGTGGAATGGCTTTCACGCACTTGCCAAGGCTTGTTTTCTTCCCCTCTACTCTATTACACTCACAACGGGAATGCCGTTGCGCTAGACAGGTGAGGGGTGATTTCTATTGGATTCATAGCACTGAGTTTCAGAGGACTGGGGTGTAGCTCAGTTGGTAGAAAGTTTGCCAAGCATGGAGAAGCTCTGGGTCTCACCTCCAGCACAGCATAAGCCCAGTGTGGGAGGACATTTCTAATCCCAGCACTGGAGAGGTGGAGGAAGGGAATCAAGAGTTCAAGGTCATCCTTGACTATACAGAGTTCAAAGCCACCCTAAGCTACCCAAGACCCTATCTATAAGGGGTGAGGGGGAGGCCTGGAGAGAAGGATCAGCAGTAAAGAACATTTGTTGCTCATGTAGAAGGCCTGAGTTCAGTTGCCAGGACCCACATAGTAACTCAGAACCATCCATAACGTCAGTTCCAGGGAATCCAGCCCCTTCTTTTGACCAACTAGATCATGAACATGACACACAGGCAGGCCAAACATAATACGCATTAAATACAAATTAAAAATTCTAAAATAAATAAAGTTTAAGGAGTTCTAGGATGCTGAACACATTTCCTGGCTTTCCAGCCAACTCGGTAAGTTGCCGGCCTCTGTCGGTCACATGGATTCACAAACAGCCCCCAGAGTGCAAGGAACAGTTTGGTGGCGCTACCTCAGCCCACTCGCCAGGGCTCAAATGATGCCAGTGTTGTGAGGAGAATCCCTGCAAAAACAGATTGGTTTTGTTCTCGTCTACTAATAGCAGTTATTTTGAAATGCTATTTAAATCTCTGTTGTTTATTTGAACCATTTGTGGATGAGGGGCTTTAGGGCAGCAGGGACAGTGCCCTATAGGAGTCTGTAGCACCTAGGAAGCCAGGTATTCTCCCTCTTCACAAATGCTCATAGAGGCTCATCAGCCTTTTCATTTCTCTAACAGCCCATCTTTTTTAATTATTGAGGTGCTTGTGGTGGCTTACTAAGAATGGCCCCAGAGACTCATTTATTTGCTTGCTTAGTCACCAGGGAGTGGCACTATTTGAGAAGATCCAGGAGGTGTGGCCTTATTGGAGAAAGTGCCTCACTGGGG